GGTCCTAAGTGCACTTTGCATTAGCATTTGCATATTTCTTGCGTTCTTGCATCATATTCAGGTTGTTTTGGACACACTGGAGCTTTGGAGGTTGCGTGGACATGCTCAGGATCGAAGAGGAGCCTGTGGACACTTGGAAGAACTCAGCCGTTCGGCAAAGGAACCAGGATCGGGGTGCGGATCGAGCTAGGCAAGTCGATCTAGATGAGATCGACCAGAAGATCGAGTGACTCAAGTCGTTTCAAGAAAGAGGATCGAGACCAAGATCGACCAAGGTGATCGATCGTGATTATGGACATGGACTAAGCCATGCAGAACGAGAGCCAGATCGAGATCCACAACTCGATCATCCGAGGATCGACCCAACGATCGAGCAAAATAAGACGTTCTAGCCGGGAGATCGAGTGATCAGATCGACTACTCAGCTCGATCCCAGAACCTTATCCGGACAGCTCATTTTTGGCATGTAGTGAGGGGACCATTTTCTCTTGTTGGCCTATTTTGGGAGTAAAAACCCTATCACTTTCGGGAACCCACGCTTTGTCTTATCTTTTTCGAGTTTTCCTTTAGGCGATTAGCCATCATTGCAGTTCTTAAGCTTTCCTAGTTTTGTAAACATTTTAATCTTGTTTAATCTAAGTACTTTTCTTAATCGCTCTTGTTTGTTTAGCTTTCTTTCTTTTGCATTTTCGTGTGTTTTAGCAATGTGTAGTGATTAGATTTCTTTGGGTTTAAGGTTGGGGCGATTTAAGAGGTTTAAGGGTTTAAGCTTTGGTCTTTTTCTTATTCTTAATCTTTTCTCTTCTTGGATTTGGGGTCTTAATGCTTAGAGAGTCTTGGGAAAGATCTCTATGATCCCATGGTTTTTCTTACCTTGACCGAATTCAGAAATCCCTTCAAACCAAATCCAAGAGGCTAGCTCATCCTTTCCCAAACGCCATGGATGCTTAGGGAGCTAGTTAGGCCATTGTTTGAGATCTATGCTTAATGTTCTTCGACCCATCTTTCCACCACACGCCATGGGTTTGGAGGAAGGGTTGAGGAAAGGGTCTATACCACACGCCATGGATAAACCTCTTTTAGCTTCTCAAGACTTAGAGATAGCTCATCAAATGAGTAGATCTATGTTCTCAAACCCAAAGCTTGAATCTTGAACCCTCTTAAACATGACCCTCAACCTTGAATCCTCTCTTTTAGAATTTAAAAACTCAAGTTTATCATTTCTTAGTCATAAAGTTTGCATCTTTAGTCTTAAAAGTCATTGTTATAAGTTGCTAGAAATTCTCTGTTTTTCTGCCTTTAGATCTCGATTTTTAGTAATCAGTAGTTTTGCATTTTAAATTATCAGTCTTCTTCTAGTATTTGTTAACTCCTCTGTGGGATTTTTAAAATAGTTTTCATAGTCATTTGGTACTTGAATTTAGTTTTCATTGAATTTCTCATCCATTTATCCGAATCTGCCTAGCTTTGCATTGCTCTTGCATTCTTAGTGACTTTCATCAACCTAGGCTGGATTGACACCCTTACCACTATACTACATCATTATCTTGGTCTAGGCTTTGATAAAACAATCCCAAACAATCTTGTTTATCACCTGGTTACTTGTTTCTTTTTCCATTTTTATTTTTCTTTCATTTGGGTAATTTTTATGTTTTTCTCTTGAGTCAGTTTGTTAGTTGCTTTAATGATGTTTTGTGAACTTGTTTAACCCTGAGTTATGCTTTATTTGGATGTTTTTAATGTGTGTTTGAGTGCTCTAACAATCTAACTTCGGAGTGCACATGATAACATACATTGGAACATCTAACTGTCAACATTGATGTTTCAGACATGGTGACGATCATCACCAATGCTGAGTGACGCTCGTCACCAACTCCTTCGTGAGGTACCACTTTCAAACTCAGTTCAATGCATTCTCTTACTTCTTCTTGACAACCTCTAGGCTTCATAACACTGGGGACAATGTTGTAAGTCTGGGAGAGATGGCTATTGATGTTGTGTACATTGTTTCTTATTTTGAGAGTCTTTCAGTTGAGTCAAAAACCTGTTTTATAGAGTTAAAATTTCAAAACTGTCAGTTTTTTCTTGGAACTAACTAAAAAACATTGATGCTTATAAAAACCATTGCTACATATGTTGATTACAAGTCTTACTAAGTCGAAAGTAAGAGGTAAATCAGTCTAGTAAAGAAGGTTTAGGTTCTGAGAATCTGGAAAATTTATTGTTGACTCCACCTTAATGAACTTTTAACTTCTCATCTTGGGCTTGATACTCATTGATCTTGATTCTCTCATTCAACATTGACAAGAATGCCTAGGTGCAGCCTCTCTTTGATCTTCCCTGATACAGCTTTTAAGAGTTTAAGTCTATAGAATGGTGCATCACGACCCTGTCTCCTTACAAGGAATAACAATAGTGAACACTCATGAACCTGTCTCCTCACAAGGAACACAAGTATTGAGTAGCATCAATTCTTAGACTGTAAAAAAAAAGAGAAAAGAAAGTTGAAAAATCGAAAAAAAAATAGATCAAAGGAAGAGAAAATAAGATAGCTATATTGAGATTGATTTGTTCAGTGTTAAGGAAGGGAAAGAATCTATAAGTGGTTGATAAATCATTGATGAGATATCACACTTAGATAAATGAGAGGAGTTAGCAGTAGAGATTCTGAATTTCTTGAAGGGGCTTGGACTGCATTTGAGAGATTTCTAAGCTTGTGATAAGTAGACTAAAATTTGATCTTGTGTTGGCTCTGTGGTATGTGGATTCAAAATAATTGTTCAATGTGGCGTTCCTAAGGTTAGCTGATTGTTTCTGTTTTCAAACCTCGACCATGTTCTCAGTCTGATGTATGCTTGAAGGCAAGCAAAAGCTAAATCTGTTGGAGTTGATATATCATGGTTTTTATGGTTTTTTGGCATGATATAAGTCATTTTTATTAAGTCCTTTTGGTCTTTTTAGAGTCCTAGTAGAGTCTTTACATGTTATAGCATAATAGGAGCACAATTGGAGGTTTTGGAACTTTTTAGATCAAAGTAAGAATCATCCCCGATGGAACCAACTCAGAAGACGTTATTCTGCACTGGTGACGATCGTCACCACTTAAGGGTGACGCTCGGCACCCTCATCAAAGAAGGGTTGCGTGGTTTATTTAAAAGATGGAGAGGAATTTGCTCTTTTGGCCCAAGAGTGTATATACAAGAAGACCTCAGCTCGTGTTTTAGCTTGTATATTAGGTTTTTCAGCCATTCTTGGCTTGTTTCTTGTATCTGATTTTCTAGAGAGATTTTGAGAGAGATAGTTTTCAGAGCATTGAGGGAGACAAATCATGTACTCTCTGAGAGAAGATTTCGAACTCTTGTATCCCTACTCTATTCTAATTTATGCAGTATTATTCAGCTATGCATTGTTTATTCATACTCATGTCTGAGTAATTTGTTAGTTATGTTATAATGATTTAAAGGTTGATGAAGAGTTTGTATAATTTTCAAACATAGGAAAATCCATTGGTTCTTCATCTATGATTGCATTCATATCGATTCTTAGACTAATCATCTAGATTTTGAAACCCTAAGTTGTTTGATAGATGTGAGAACATTGTTAATCACCTAAACTAGTATTAGATTGGCAAAATGCCTATTTGCAAAGAGATTTAACTTAGGAGTTTTGTGAACAATTGAAACCTGATCATTAATGCTTGCTTGACTTGTTAGAATTTGCAAAGAGATTTGAAATTCTGTGAATTAGGCATAAATAACTTCTGCAATGGGAATTGATTAGTTATATCATTGTGTTCCGAGTTCTAGACGGTTTCTATTTATTCTTGATTACATGCATTCTACATTTTCGGATCCAACCTGCAAATTATCCTGACTTAACGCTTTTAGCTTTCTGAACTTTAAAACAATCAATCAAAATTGCGTGCTTACATTCATTTAGTTAGCATTACATTCATTGTTTACTGCTTTACTTAATTTGAATCTAAAATCTATAATATAGTAGCTTAGTCCTTTAGAATTCGATAACTCTTTATGTTATAACTACTTTGCTGTGCACTTGCAGTAGTAAATTAATTAGATAAAACTTGAACTCTATCAGAATACTAATATAGGGACGGAAACAAAACTAAAACCAGAAATCAACTTATTTGGCAGAATTTTTTTCTCAACACGGGATAACCAAGATTTGTTTGCCCGCTAGGGTATGCCGTTTCTGTAAAATATACTCTTTTTACATATATAAAATGCAAGTGAGAAAAAGAAGTAAAACGGGGTGAAAAAAACGGCTAAGGGTATAAAAATCCGTTCACACTCAGTAAGTACTATATTGCTGAAAGTACTTTTTCCTATAACCAGTCTCTCGAAAGTGCTTTTTCCTTTGAATCTCTCATATTTTCTATACTTTCTCAAACCGGTTATAATTTGGGTAAAAATTTAGTTAAACAAATCTATAGAATCTATGTAATTACCCAATCAATTTGTCCGGTTTCTTACTGAAAACCTTTTGAATATTGTCTTTTTATACTCAGATTACCCATTCCCGATATTTTATTTCCCGATTCTCGAAATGAACATGCCTAGTATGATGATACACAATGAATTTAACAGAATTAAGTATTTCCAGATGAAAGGAGAGTATAGCATATAGAGTGAAACTGTAAAAAGCATAGAGAATCAAACAAAACATCGTATAACGCCCCCACAAAAAGATAAGAGTAAGAGGTCTGATTTGATCCTCTGATGCTACAAAAAATATTTTTCTGAACAAACCTAAAAACATTTTATGCATACGCCTTCTTCATTACTTCCTTCTTGCCTTCACCTCTTTCCTAACACAATTGTTTTTTTTTTGTACTTCATTTCAGCTACTCTCTTCCCATGTACAGAACAGATACAACAAAATGAATAGCGTGGTTGACTTTTTTCTCCTTTCTTTTTTTGGGTTTTACTTATCCGGTGGTGTATCTCTCACTTCCTATATAAGTACCTGGCTTTTATCTGTCAGTAAATGATGACTCTAAGAAGACCGGCCTGAGGTTCGGAATAGTCGAGCCCTTCTTCTTCGAGTAGGTAGCGCTGTACAGCAACCGGGAGTCTAGCCGGTGTTCGGGAACCTCTTGTGTGGTGGCCAGTCCCTACACATATGTAAACCTGAAGCCTCTCTTGAGTAACTCGAGCTGTACTCCTAGACACGCTTAGTTCGTGCTTCAACACCTGAAGTGCCTCACTCACATGTAACCCATGCAAGTCTATCATTCTCTCGTTCCCTCTACTGTTCCCTTGACCCGCCGGGTTCCTGTGATAGTTATTGCTCATTAAGCAGGTAAGAACAGAGATAGAGAAAACAGTAGTCTCATCACAGAGGTTAAACCTTTCAGCCATTTCAGATTAGGTAAAGAAGTCAAACCTTTGACGGTAAATGGCTTCTTGAGCTTTCCCATGAGCGACTTTCATCTGCATGTTATGTAGCTGTCCTTTGACACTCAGCTCTTTAGCTAAGGCCTTATTGCCAACAAGGTATGCTTGCCGTGCCTACGGTCAACCAGAAGCAACATAGAACACAGAAAGATCACATACTAATAAGATAGACGTTGAAGTGATTAAACTATCATTGGCAAAGAAAAAGCTTATGATGGCAGATAAGACAGGAAATGCTTATGATTAATATTTCAAACATCAATATAGACAAAAGAAACATCACCCTCAAGATTAACAGACATGTATGCACCAAAAGGAACTTCTGAGTCTCAGCTACACAAAAGAACATATACTGTATGTAGATAGTCTGCAGAAATTATAGAGGCCTTATAAATGGGCAAGAATCTCATCCCTATTTATTTACCTGTTCAAAGTATACATTCCGCAGACGTGCATAGTCACGTGCTTCCTCGCGCAAGTCAGTATACATATTCCCTGTTCATCCCAGAAAAAAAATGAGGGCCAGAAATGCAAAAGTAACAGGACTGGGATAGTAATCTGTATATCTGCTAAACTTGGTTCAACAGTGGATATTTACCAACAGCATCCCCGGTCTCCACCCAAACAGGAGCAGGTCGATTTGGGGCTCCGTATTGTAGCTTATCAGAATATATGTTTCTCGCACGCCCACTCTTGTAAGCACCAGAATTTCTGCTTGAGCCAATAGATGAGTCTGCTGAATCGTTTCGTTCGTATTTCCAAATACCAGAATCCTGGGATGCTAACTTCCTGACAGCAGAAACATAATCGATTGAACCAGGCTGAGAAACCGATGAGCCCGACTTCAAGAAAAACATGTTGTCCTTTTGTTGCAAACCGTCTCCACCAAACTGTGCAGGGATACTCTGGCTATTTGAGATGCTCAGGGCTGGAAAATCCATGGGAGTGAGATTAGGAGGAGCAAAACTCTTAGGGCTTATGTTCTGATTGAAGCCACCATCCACTTGTAGCTACAGTAAACACATAAAAGATAACAACCAGATCACTAGTATGAAAAAAATAAAATAGAAACATATGTAAAAGTAGTAAAACAACATGACTAGACACAACAGCTACACTGAAACCATTTGTTCACAAGGAATAATGAGTTACATAGGCAAGAAAGCAGAAAGTTGTCAAAGGACCAGGGTTCTGGAAGAAAAGGAACAAGTGTAACGTCTAAAAGATAAACATCATACGCAAATGAAAGCAATGTCTTATATTGACTAGGAGAATACCTCAAGTTGAGTAAGCATCTCAACTGTCAAGTGCAAATCACACCCATTAGCAAAATAAACTTCTGCAAGACTCTCAGCAGCAAATCCAGGGAACTGAGAAGCAAGAAACTCCACAGGGTTCACCTCTATTTCTCCTATAGTCGGATTCTCGGTAATCATATCGTTGATGTACTGCCGCGAACTTCCACCAAAAGGGTTTCTTTCGCTGTCATTCCAAAGAAGCTGCTCAGCATTCATAATCTGCTTATCCCAAGGCTTTGGACTTAGATGCATGAAACTCGGTCGTTGAGGATCTTCCCCGAATGAAGAAACGGGATATCTACTCTTCTCGGACAAGTTATTACCATTAGCGTTATGTGAAGCTAATCCAGATTGGTCTGAAAATGAATATCCTCCTCCTCCACTAGCAGAAGGAAACTTTTCAACTTCATTAGCTTCATACAACGACAAGCTAGCTAGTGACAAGCTCCCAGATCCATACGAATTGTCATCTTGAGTCATGAACTTGAAATCTGGTGTAATATCATCAGGAAGCTGGTGACTCCAGAACTGTCGTGCTTCTTCGTCTGAATGATGTGATGCAGACGATTCAGAACGGTCCAACACAGCTTTTCCTACATAGCTAGATGAAGCTAAAAGTCTTGATGTAAGATCAAGATTGCTTGTAGTAGCTCCAGATGAAGGAGATCTTAGAGTAAATGGAACAAACTCAGCAGCATGAGGGTTCAAAGTTGTTGGTTTGATACTTGAACTTAGCTTTGGATCACTTGACTGAGTCGGTGCTTTCTTGGTTAAGCTCATTTCTTCAACAAAAAGTTATCAAAACTGATATCACAGGCAACACAAAGAAACAGATGACTTGGGGACAAAGAAGACTACAAAATAATGACTGGTTTTATCCAAAACCTGCAAAAAGAAGAAAGCTTTTAACATTCAAAGTTTACCCAGAAAAGAAACCTGCAAGAAAACTGACTTTTATCACTCAAATTACCCAGAAAAGAAACGTGCGTGGACTCCATCATATTACCAAACATAATCGAGAAAAGAAAAAATACACTTTTTTCAGTACTAAGATACAATCATAATTTCAACGCATTGCAGCTTTTAATTTATGATTAAAGCAAAAATTACTCAGGTTCTTCGTAGCAGACAAACACGTAAAGAGAAAATTTTAATTTTCTCTCACCTGGCTTCAAATCTGAGACTCAACTACAATAATCCTTAAGTCTAGATAGAGAAATCGAATTAACGTTTTTTTTTATAAAGAAAATCGAATTCGCGCTATCCTTAAATAACCGAAAAAACCGATAAATTACAGAAATCAAAATTAAACCTTCAAGCATTCTTCGAGAAGACGAGATTCGCCATATAACAAAAAAAAAAAAGCCCCGAGAAAGAAGAAGAGAATCCCAAATCAAGCTAACGAAATCCGAAAGGTAAACGAACCTTTGCGGAACAAATAGAGTGGATCCATGGAAGAGAAACGAGATTCAGGAGTAAAAGGCTGCGGAAAATAAGATAAACAGAGAGAAAGAGAGAGAGATAACTTTTTCCAAGGCTAAGGAAGGTTTGGTGCTTTTTATTTTACCTAGGGATTCGAGTTTGGGTAAGCGTCGTCTTCTTCTCTGTACCCTCTCTTTATGAATTTTTGGTGTTTGGCTAAAGCTTTAACACCACCACCACAAGATTTATTATAAAAACAGAAGACACCCAAACCTTGCGCCTTTCGATTTTGACCTTTTTTTGTTTTTTTAGTGATTCATGAATTTTCCTTCATAGCTGGTAATTAATCAGTTAATCATCAGCACACTACATTAAATTAGTATATTAAATTTGCTTACTTTATGATTTTTCCCATTTAATTTAATCTATTTATAATCAAAATTTGGATAAATTAATATTGGATAAATTAATATTTGATAAATTAATAAATTTTTTTCTTCTAAAATTATTTTATTAACCAAATAATAAATTTATAAATTAATATTTTTATAAATTATTAAAATTTCAAAAAATAGTATAATTTTAATATTATTAATTTATAAAAATTTTATTGTATACCTACTATTCGAAAGTCAATTACAGGTTGATGAGTGTTCGTTCGGACTAATGAATTAAGCTTTCAGATTCATTTTCTATAAAGATAAGCTGTATGTAGTCGTAGAGCGAGAAACTAGCTAAATCATGCAAAAGGTTAAGACTAAAAAAAAAGTTTTCTTCCTAAATATTTACTAATGTTTAAGTCAGATTACATCCTACCAGAAACAAATAATCAAGAGAGTGAGTAGATAGTATTAGTTTACGGATTAGATACCTCGTCCGGGCTATTTAGTAAAGGGGGCGGGGGCCTCACCGGTGAGAGTAAGAAGCCATGGGGCCTGCAAGCACCAAGGCATCAAGCGCGAGTCGAGAAAAGAACTGAAACTCGACAGTCTAAAAACTTACCTCGCACAACGAAAAGTCGACGGTCTAAAAACTTACCTCGCACCGCCAGGTGAGCGGGACGTTGATGCCGTCAAGCACCGTCCAGTAGAAGAACTGTTTTCGCCAGCTGCGGCTCTCGGAGCGGTCCCCGTGGATGGAGATAGAGCAGCCATCTTTGGTATGCAAGTTGTGGCGAAGTGAGTTGGCGGTGAGATTGCGGAGCTGGTAGGAGAGCAGCACCGTGGAGCCGCGGAAGAGGATCCTAAACAGGTCTGAAAGAGCCTTGCATTAAGAAGGCCCCACGCCGAAGAGTGGAACTGGCTACGGCAGATGTCGACACGGCGGCAGAAGTCCATCAAAATCCAAGGAAGGTGGCCCCAGAAAACATAGGAGGTGCAATCATCATGGATCGCCAAGCATTAAAGCGGAGGGCAATCCGCTTGGTCCCTCCCGACAGAGAAGATAGGATGAAGATTGGTAAAAGGAGGGTTGACCGTCGTTAGGACCCTCTCCAAAGAATCCGGCGTGCATACCGACGAGGATTAGTTGGAGGGAGTGGCCGCCTCAGGCGACCGAGCCACGTTCTCGGCCTCCCCTCCGGACCGTAAGAAAGGGACGTCACGCACCAGAAGATGATCTTGCTGACGACATCTCTAATGAACAAGAAGAGAGATATGAGGCAAAACAAAGAGCAGAAAGAAAATTTAGGGGCTGTGATTATTTCGAATGCATAATAAAACCACTAATGTATGGGCTTCGTAAAATTTTTAGAAGAAGAAGAAAACTGAAAGGACGAGCGAGAAAAGTTGTGTCGCTCAGGAGAACCTAAATGTCGATGGCATTCTAGTAATTATTGGCTTCTCGAGCCTTGCGACCAAAGAGGCACGCCGAGGGAGATAGACGGTCCTTCGTGGCAGAAAAAGTAACCAGCGGTTTGTGGGCAACAAGGCGTACTTTGCGACGCGACACACTATGCCTTAAACAACAGAAGTCCGCCACGTGGACTGCACCCATCATTTGCTAGAACCTCACCCAGAGAGGAGTCTAAGCAACAGCTAAGAATCCAAGCAATTATGCGAGGAAATTCATTGACGAACAGTTGCAACGATATGAATTTCACACCTCTACAGAAAAATCTTAGTCGCCCGCAGGTAATTGTGATCCCAAAGGCGAGATGCACAGAATCCGCCCGCACGATTAAATGTGACCATCCAGGGGCTCTAATCCCCGAGGCGGGTTGCACAGAACCCATACTCACGGATCAAATGTGACCGCCCCAGGACAAAATCTCAACTAGCATGTTGGAAACTCGCGACGTTACCCCGTTTTCTTGCTTGTCTGATTGTATGATTTCGTTCTTGCATGGTTGTGTGATTTTCTGCTTGCATGATTGTGTGATTTCTTTCTTACATGATTGTGTGATTTCTTGCTTGCATGATTTTTTGATTTCTTGCTTTCATGATTGTGTGATTTCTTGCTTTCATGATTGTGTAATTTCTTGCTTTCATGATTGTGTGATTTCTTAATTGAATGACTGTGTGATTTTCTGCTTGCATGATTGTGTTATTTTTTGCTTGCATGATTGTGTGATTTTCTGCTTACATGATTGTGTGATTTCTTGCTTGCATGATTATGTGATTTCTTGCTTTCATGATCATGTGATTTTCTGTTCGTACGATTGTGTATTTTCTTGTCCATACATCCGCACATCAATGCTCGTCCTTTGCATATATGTGTTGTAACACCCCCGATTCGATCTAAAAATAGATAAATCGAAAGCGCTACAATGTCGAGGTTCACAAATAGGCCGGCCCTTGCTTAGAACGAATCCAAGTGTAAGGCTAGCCCGATATGTTAGCTCGACCCTCTCGACTAGAGCCTAAGGCTTGCCAACCCGTACTCCAGTCAAGAGTTGTGTTAACTCGGACCGAGTTAATATCATTAGAAAACAAGGGTTTTATAAACAAATCTTTTCTTTATTACTCATATCGAGTCATTATACAAAATTCGACTTATTCAAACTCTATATAAGCGGATCCTTACTACTCAAACAGTTTCAAAACTGTATATATAAATTTTACAAAAGCCTACCGAAATCTACTCTGGAATCCTAGTGTCCAGTCTGTTACCTTAGTCCGACTTACTAGGGCTTCCTGCAAAATATTAAAACAAAGAGGGATGAGTAATCTAGTATTACTCAGTGAATCCAGGACCCTTTATACAATCGTTAGTTCCCCAACACAAACCCCAAAATAAATAATACAATGCATGCTTACACCATGCAATAATATCAGAGAAATTAATACAAGCGTAAACTCAAAAAGGGGTGGCATGTCCATAGTAACCTCACTGTTACTATGCATGTTGAGGCTATAGCAACTGCAGTTACTAAGCCTAACCGTTGAACATCATCCTAGCCTCAACGCTAGGTATGTTCAACACCACACAAAACGCCGAACAAGTCCCTTAGCACTCTCGCTACGGGTATTCGACTCTCACCTCAACACCGAAACAAGACACATAGCACGCATGCTACGCAGGTTCGATGTTGATAGGGTTTTCCTAGATCTTTAGGTATATCAGACACAGTTGCCCAAATACTACACTTGAACACCCGCACCTACTTACCACAAAGGACCATAGGTTGGATTATCAACCCGACCTGTCCTTGCCTCGACAGTCGGCCCGAATTGCCCTTGCCTCGACAGTCGGATGCATAGTCATGCATTACTCGGCCAAGGGGGCGATCCAAGTCACTCTGAGTCTGCGGGACCGCCAATACACCGCCCTAAATATCACACGTGGTCTTCGACCCATGTGATCCACTCACAACAATTCTCACAACATTTCTGCAGCGTAACTCTTCATAAAGTCCGTCTTATGAAAGTCCCTTATCTATCTCATAGCTTCCAGGTTGGTGTGTGGTTATACGATTGGCCAGAAAGGCATAAACATCCACAAAACCCTTCTTTGAAGCAATCCCTTTATCTCTGCACGGTTTTCTTCAAGATAGATGAGATTTGCATGCTCTCCACGCCTGTAGTCTAGTGCTATAGCCTGTAAAGTAGGCTTTATAGCCTTTGACATTAGTCCCTCCTTCTTCCTATCTCTTCAACTTGGGTGTTTTCGCGTTTTTGGCCGAAATCGGGATAAGTATCAACAAGAACCTTATCTTCAAGCTTTTACCCAGTGTGTTGTTTCTCCATTGGCCATAATCACGGCCCTTATCTTCTGCTCTGACAATAGTCACGAGGCTTATCCCATAGCCTGGTTACGGTTTTGTTTCCATTGATCTCCTTTTCAGACTGGGTGTTCTTGCGAGATTGGTTGTGCGGTTTGATCTTATCTTCTGATCCATAAGCTATAATCACGAGACT